GAAGGAAGGAAGGAAGGAAGGGAGGAAGGGAGGGAGGGACAGAGGGAGGGAGGGGAGGAGGGAGGGAAGGACAGAGAAGAAGTACAGGCTATGTCCTGCGTGTGGACGGGGCTCGAGACCGTACCTGGATTCCAGAGCCCTCTGTAACGATGATCTTCCACACACAGTTCAGGTTGTTTCCATATGGCTCAGGATAGCCCGGGGACAGGATGGTACCTCTTCGCTGAGTGAAATTACCACTGCAGGGAACTGACAGACAGGGCTTTGTCTTCAGTAAGTGCTTAATAAGTGATACGCTTATTTAATAAAGATAACTTGCAGTGGCAACAGTATTAATGTTGTCTCTCCCTCTGTGCCATTGTAAGAAACACTGTCCCTGTTTGAGGTATCTTAAATGGATTTTTTAGCCAAGGTGTAGTTTAGTCTTTTCTAAGTTAATAATATCAATGATTATGTACCCATTAAACTACTATTTATAGATGTTGAGTCTCTAAAGAAGTCTCTTTAGGGGCTGGGAAGGTGGCTCAGTGGTAGAGCGCTTGCCTTGCATGCATGAGGCCCTGGGTTCGATTCCTCAGCACCATATAAGCAAAAAGAAAAATGCCGGAAGTGGCGCTGTGGCTCATGTGGTAGAGCGCTAGCCTTAGAGCTGAAGAGCTGAGGGACAGCACCCAGGCTGAGTTCAGGCCCCACGACTGACAAAAAAAAAATAAAAAGTTTCTTCAGAGTTTCTAAGAAGGCACTGGACCAACCACGGTGTCTAGAGTCATTATCTGCTTCAGTCTGAGGCCATTGCAGAACATTCTCTCCTCTTAGCAGACACACAACTCCCAGCAATATTCATGGGATTTATGAGCAAATTCAGAGACACTTAAAATGTACAGATGGATTCAAGTGCCAATCATGATTGCACCAGAGTACTCTGTGCAAAAAGAAGCAAATAAACCACAGCTAATCTGGCTATATTAACCTATTGCTTTCAACACATTCATCGGCACAAATGCATTAAGAGGGCATGATGCAAGTAATATCCTAGATCAAAATTATAATTGTTTGCCCAGAATAAAATTATGTGATGCATTGTGACTTCGGACTTGATGGTATACATACTGAAAAAGGAAGCGTGCTTGTCCTTACTAGCTGAGTTGTTTAATGAAATGGCACTTTAGGCGTTGGCTCCTACCTGTTCTTTGTGTCTTAGAGAGCCGCACTGCAGTGTCCCCCGCCCTGGGCCACTTACCCACGCAGCTCGGGATCGTGTCATTCCACTGGGCCAGTGCGTTGGGCACAGACTGGCAGCGGATGGCTGTGGAGCCCTGGAGCAGGTACCCTGGGTTGCACTCAAACCTCACAATCGAACCTGCTGAGAACTCGGAGCCGATCCTCCTGCCGTGCCGGGGCTCGGGGACAGAGCTGCACTGCGTGTCGCTGGTACGAGGAACAGCTGGGGGCAAAACAACACAGCCATCGGCGTCCACCGCAGAAGTCACCCGTGCCCTCCACACACGCGTGTGTCCCCCTCACACATAGCCACGTGCTCCACGTTTCCTTCACACACGTGTCCCACACACACTCCAAGGTGCCCTGGAGCCTGGTCTGAGTCTGACAATGGTGGTGGCCAGTTAGAAGCCAGCATCTCTAACATGGCCTGGGGTCGGTGTGCAGGGAGTTCACGTCTGCAGGTCATCTGAGCATCCACCTTGGGCTCGGCAGAGGACGGGAGGAGAATCCATGCTGGGTGATTCTCCACTGATATTCAAGCCACTGGATTAACCAATGCCCAAAAGGTGGTGTGAGTCACAGCATGCTACGGACACAACCTTGCGGTCAAGACCGGCACCTGGCGGGAAGAGCGCTGGCTGAAGGAATGTTTTGTGGCTGTCGCAGTGTGATAACAGGCAGAAGAGCAGAATGAGCACATGACCTGTCCCTGTTCACTGACACACATGTCACTGTAGCGGTTTGGAGGCTAGGGACACACTCACAACGTTCCTGCCAGCAATGGGTGCACAAGGAGCTTAGCATTTATGTCCAATCCATTTATACAGCAGACTTTCACTCGACCTTGAGAGACAAGGAGATCCCGACATTTTCAGCCAGATGGGGAGACCTTTAGTGCCACGCAACATGACCCAGGTACCAGGGCACACCTCAGGAGGGAATCTAGGGGAGCCGACTCCTCCGGAGGGTGGGTACCGGGGCGGGGCTGGCGCGGGACGGGGGAGAGGACTCCCAGAGCTCTTTCCTTCCTCTCCCTCTCTTTTCCAGGCTGTTCATGGTGTTGGTTTACATTCTATAGGGAGCAACACCTAAGTCTCAGATGCTGTGTGTGTACCCTGTGCTCCTGGATGGAAGACACGGACAGGAAGTGTTAATGCTCTGTGAAGTGAGATGCTCACTCCAGTGGTGCATTGGAAATGACAATGCACAAGAATATGTTCTGTCTCTGAAAAGTGGAATGGGATTCAGTTTGGACAATACTCCATACGGCAAAGATGCTCGTCATGCCAAACTGTTTGGGAGGAGCCACACCTGTGAAATGTGCATGCTTTGTTTTGTCTTCTATTACAGAAGTGAAGCCAAAGATTATTCTGACCAAACTATGATTGAATTCTGTGTTGAACTATTTTCTCTCAGTGGGCTAAAAGTAACAAAGGTAGATACTCTCTGTTACTGTTGAAAATGTTCATGATAGCCCAGACCCACTCACTCATTTCCATACAGAAAAGAGAAATATCACTATATAATAACTATAATATTCTGGAGTAAAAATATTGCCTAAAGTCCTTTTGTCCTACTTGTATGTCTAAGTATTTTGTTACAGTTGAGTGATCATGTGCAGGAAAAAAGACAGCCACTGGATGATCCACAAATGTCTCAAGGATATTGTGCAAAATAAAGCAACTACTCCATTGCTTGTCTGTGTGCTGGCACTGAATTACTTTGCAATAACCTGAGGACGTTAGTGTGGGCCACCCAGGAGAGCGTGGCTTCCTTCCCCCTAGAAATCGACACAGAAGCCTTACAGTTTTAGTTTTTGTGTCTTTTTTTTTTTTTGCCAGTCTTGGTGCTTGAACTCAGGGCCTGGGTGCTGTCCCTGGGCTTCTTTTGCTCAAGGCTAGCTCTCTACCACTTGAGCCACAGCGCCACTTGTGGCTTTTTCTGTGTATGTGGTCCTGAGGAACGGAACCCAGAACTTCACGCATGCTAGGCAAGCGCTCTGCCGCTAAGCCACCTTCCCAGCCCAGCCCTTACGGTTTGCTAACTTTGGTGTGAGTTATTTGAAGGGAAATGAAAAAGGTATTGAGAAATAGATATTTGTGGGAAGAGCAGGCACAAACTAAGACCTTGAAAACAGTAGCGCCGACAAGCACTAGCCTGCACGCTCCACTAGAATACAGTCATGTGACCCAGAGGAAGGGCAGAGTGCAAGGGCCAAAATGTGGCCTCACGGGACCATGTGGTCAGACATGAGCATTCTGGCACGTGGGACCATGTGGTCAGACATGAGCATTCTGGCACGCAGAATGCTCACACATGTCATGCACGCTCACCCTGCCCTCTGTGACCTCTGGCACTGCATACTCATTGGGCCACACGTGGCTTTCTGTCCTGTGTGAGCTCCTGGTCGCGCTTGGCCACCGGTACCCACCACGGCCCTGTGCAGCCCTCCTGGTGGTACAGGAAGGACTCTGGGCGCTCTGGGAAGAGGGCTACCTGCCGCGGCTCGCAGGCGCTCTGGGAAGAGGGCTACAGCCCGCGGCTCCCAGGCGCTCTGGGAAGAGGGCTACCTCCCGCGGCTCCCAGGCCTCTGGGAAGAGGGCTACCTGCCGCGGCTCCCAGGCACTCTGGGAAGAGGGCTACCGCCCGCGGCTCCCAGGGTACCAGGGTCCTGGGGCATGCGCACTCCCTTCCCAGCAGGCATCTCATCAGTGGGGGGGATGGGGGGAGGGGCAAAGACCAAACCCACCAGGCCAATCCCGGGTTAAAGCCATGCTCAGGCACAAAGCTCCAGGAACCCGCATGTCTTTGCAAGTGTTGCAGATGGTAACAATTCCACGGCTGGGCTGGGGTCTCCAGAGAACCAAGCAGGTGGGTGCAGAGCTAGTGCAGAGATGCAGGTGTGGTGACTGCATGCTGAACTGCCACCTCTGCGTTTCGTCGCCGCCCCTCCCAGCAGAGCTCTGTGCCCGTCTGTGCACATGGAAGACGCCACCGGGCGGCGTCGAGTTTTAATGACTCTGTCAGCACACAGGAAAGGGAGGCCTGACTAGATCTTCCTTCTCTGAATAACCAATGCGCAGTTTAACTCCTCGTGGGTACTGAAATCATCCTCTGTGGCTCTTGAGTGAGGTACCAGCCCCTCTCGTGACCCTCTCCTGTTATCTCCAGAGGGGTTTTCCATTTGTGAAAGAGATATGCCTTTGTATGAACTTCCTGGCTAGAAGCAAGAGAAGCAGGCACACGGGCCTTACAAAACGTTCAGTGTTAGTCACTATTGATTCTTAAGTACAAGGAGAACAGACTCACGCACACACACACACACCCTGCAAAGGAATTTGGAATTTACTGAAGATTAGGAGTGGTAAGGGACAGCTTGCTCAACTTGGTTATTCTAACAATGTCAATTTTTTAAAAAATACTAATGTTTATTTTTATGTGTGTGTGCCAAACCTGGGGCTTGAACTCAAGCCTGGTGCTGAGTTCCAACTGGGATCCTCAAGTCTCAATCTTCTGAGTATTCACATTTAATTTTTACATGTTAATTATTTACATATTAATAGCCATAGCTGCCACAATAACCATTTTTACTCCCATTCAACCAGCCACAGCTCAGAAGGTGTTAGAGATACTCACCCTCCTAATTGCCAGCATCATTCCATCCTTTCTCCTCTACACCCTTAAATACATCTTGTTGGTGTAAACAGACTCTCCTGACCGAGGAAAGCTTTGAGGCCGGCCTTTGCAGGGTGAGCTGGCTAGAAGCGACTGATAAGGGATGAAAAGGGCGCTACTGCTCTCATGCTGTCAAGGTGTTCTCTAGAGAAGCGGTACTTAAGGAAAGAAGCCCCAGCTAAAGGATGAGCACGGGGTGGCTGGTGGCCTAGTTAGGCTAAAGCCAAAGCTTAGATGAGGAAAGCCTCTGAGCTGCTTCTCCTGTGGAGCCTGGCCGACCTCTGAGGCCCCTTCCCCAGTCTGTCCCGATTCCTTCCCGGCCTCCTCTCTGCCGAACAAACATCTGCGCACGGCCTAAGAGGCACTGGTTCAGGTTTGCAGAGCGAATACACACACAAAAGCAAAACGGAGGAAGGAAAATAGCCTCACTTTCCAGTCGGAAGCAACCACAAACGGGTCTTAAATGACATCTAAGTGAAAAGAAATACAACCTAAAAAGACCAACCTATAAAGTGCTAAAAGGTTATAAAACACAAGCAAACTAAGGTATTTAGAGTAGTAGATGTGTGTTTTATCCTGTTCTCTCTTTCTTTCTTTCTTTCTTTCTTTCTTTCTTTCTTTCTTTCTTTCTTTCTTTCTTTCTTTCTTTCTCTCCCTTCCTTCCTTCCTTCCTTCCTTCCTTCCCTCCTTCTCTCCTTTCTGATAAGTGACTTAGTTTCATGATGAAATGTGGCATTGTGTGGTGTACTTTCAATGTATCTCATTAAAGAAGTTTCTAAGACCTCGGCCCTCATGCAAGGGTGTAATTAGATGAAACACTACGTTTCCCACCACCTTGTGCAGGTGAGCAGAGCTGCACCATGGCTGATGGTTCTGTCCTCCCCTGACATCGCTGGGTAAATGGAAAGTGCAAACAGTGTGGAAAGAAGCTAATAGTTCATGAAATCATTTTATCATTTATGCACAAAAGCTTGATTTGGGGGGGCTCCCTGTGTGAGGGGGGGTCTGCTGGGTGGGGACCCCACCGGGCCTCAGGGGGGGTCCCTGTGTGAGGGGGGGTCCGCTGGGTGGGGGCCCCGCCGGGCCTCGGGGGGCTCCCTGTGTGAAGGGGGTTCTGCTGGGTGGGGACCCCGCCGGGCCTCAGGGGGGCTCCCTGTGTGAGGGGGGGTCTGCTGGGTGGGGACCCCACTGGGCCTTGGGGGGCTCCCTGTGTGAGGGGGGGTCCGCTGGGTGGGGACCCCGCCGGGCCTCGGGGGGCTCCCTGTGTGAGGGGGGGTCCGCTGGGTGGGGACCCCGCCGGGCCTCGGGGGGCTCCCTGTGTGAGGAGGGGGTCCACTGGGTGGGGCCCCGCTGGGCCTTGGGGGGCTCCCTGTGTGAGGAGGGGGTCTGCTGGGTGGGAAGCTGGCCTTACCCTGGTACACAAAGTGGAAGCCGCGGGCCGACGCTCCGCTCTTGGCGCTGAATCGAAGCAGAATCTGGTTGGACGTGGCCAGAGGCAGGGTCTCACCTGAAGTAACAACAGACCACAGGTGAGACCGAGAGACCGAGCACACGCACAGCGCCCTGCAACCTAAATATTACGTTGAAATCTCACAAAGAACGCTTTAAACGTCAGAAACAAAAGAGCACGCCATGCCATCGGGGACCCAGAGAGAACCTTTTAAGAGTATAACCCTGATTCTGGCTGTGCACTCTGCTAAAGGCCTCATTTGCACTTTGTTTTGACACATACACCAAGGCCCTTTTGGCTGAATAGGGGAGATGTAAGTATCAGATGAGTTATTTATAACTAATCACCTTAACTTGATTGTGACTTGCTGGAATTGTATTTAAAATTAAGAAAATGTATTTGAGCCTAGAACAGTCATTCTTAAAATCAAAGATTCAGAAAATACCTTCTGATATAAAATGTGGCCCCTACAGCACAACCTGCACCTGGGAGCCCTCTCCCCAGAGCCAGCTGAAGGTCGGCAGTGAGCAGAGGCTGGGCCTGGGGGGAGGGGAGGATTTTAGATCCTGTCTTCTGAGTGTTTGGTGTGTACGGCGTTCTGGCATCAGGCACAGACCAGAAAGAACAATACATAGGTTTTAAGATTATCTTTGTTTTTTATGTTGGTCCTGGGGCTTGAACTCAGGGATTGGACACTGTTCCTGAGCTTTTTTTTTTTTTTTTTTGCTCCAAGCTAGTGTTTTGTCACTTGGCCCACAGCTCCACTTCTGGCTTTATTCTTTTTTGGTAGTTAATTTGAGGTGAGAGTCTCAGGGACTTTCTTTCCCAGGCTGGCTTAGAACCATGGTCCTCAGATCTCAGCCTCCTGAGTAGCTAGGATTACAGAAGTGAGCCATCGGTACCCCCCCCATCATTTTTAAGATTTTTGATGCATCAGAAAACAGTAAGACAATGAAAACACTGAAATCCAAACTTTGCTTAGTCAACACCTGTGACACACATAGGTAAATTTACCTGGGTAATGATTTTGTAAACTTACTAAATACTGCAGTAGTTAGTTCACAGGTAGGTTAAAGAAGGGTCAGATTACTGATGAGTATGGTCAATACATTGCTCTGTGTTAATCTAATAAGACACAGGCATCCCTGGCTAGCTACAGAAATGTCTTCTAAGACCCCTCTCCAACTTGTAATTGCTCTGTGTTTGCCTGTGGGTACAGGTTGGGAAGGGAAAAAAATGTCAGAAGATTTTATCGCCAGCAGGGAGCCTTCAACTCATAGATGAGGAAATGAAACACACGGGTGATTTTCCATCCCCTCTTCTTCTCTTGACATTCACGGGCTCGGTGGGTAAAATGAAAAAGGCAGAGGTAATATATGAAGCCGCCATCTTTTAAAATCTCATCTCTAAAATAAACCTTTGCTAAACGTACCTAAAAATTAATAAGTGCTTACATCTCTCATTCATCAAAAGCTGAAAAAAAAGAGATGAGTCTAAAATTGGCTTCGTTCAGTAGAGTTGAGGACAAATGGTTGACATTTTACCAGAATGAGAGCCGGAGAGCGAGCTGAGAAGTCTGTCCTGTGGGTGTGCCCCGTCGAACAGCTCTGCCAGGTCGCTCAGCGCCGTCTGGAAATAGGCGAACTGCCCGAAGACCACTGGAAAGGGAAGGGGTACGCGTGAAAGAAGGGGCACGCTGCAAGTTCCCAGCTCCTGCTAAGACTCCTGCCCTGAGGAGCGTGTAATTGCGAATGTGAACTGATCTTCCCTGCCTTCTAATTTCTTAGAGATTAAATAATTTTACTGTGCTTCTTGCCTTTAAGATAAGAGGTCTTTAGGTATTTAATAAAAGGAGACATAATCTTTTCTGCCTAATTTGAACATTAAATGAAGTATATATATTTTTAAAAGTAAATAATCTTTATTAAGATAGCGGAAGTCCACCTGTAAGGGTGTCCTGTCATTAACGAAAACTGATTCCACGAAAACATAGCCAGGACCAGACCTGTGAGGCTTTGGTGACACGCACGTTCATTTGCATGAAAACTGATTCCACGAAAACATAGCCTGGCCAGGACCAGACCTGT